CGTTGCTCGAAACAAAAATCGCAGGATCAACTCGAGATCAATTAATCCGTGGCCAAGGTGGGAGTAAGCTGGCAAACTAGCGTTGACAGCATTTATTTTCGTGATTTTGACTTAAATTCGTTGGTGCTTTTGAGGTTAAATTAAACGAATTCCGGTTATTATTATCCCATTTGAAGATTAAAGAAAAGGTTTCTAGTAAACGTAAGTAAATTATTTTTATTTTTTATGTAACATAAATAATTACACGAAATTATTTTAGAACATATCCGATTTATCAAATTTATCGTATTTGAGCGACCTCGAAGAGCCTGCACATCGAGTGAGACGTCGTATTCGTCGCCCTCGCCGCAATCCTTTTAAATAATACTAAAAAATAAAAAATTAAATTAAATTGTACTTGATAATAATTGTTTTTTTAACAGCAATTAGGCCTTTAATAGGCCTTATCCTCAATAATATGTTTATATCTAAGCAGGAGGGAAAAGATGTGATAATTAGGAAGGTATTTATCTAGATATAGGACCGTAGGAAAGTCATCTGGTAAAGAATTAACGAATTTAAACAACAAAATACTAAAGTATCTGTAAGAAATTTGTATGTACTTACTTTTTAACTAGATCTAATAGCTGATTTTTATCCGTGAAGGAAAAATTAGTAGCTCGCTTTGACATTGTTTGACGGTCACGTTCACGGCACGATCGTAATAGACCTATTCAGTTTACGAAAGAGAGTGATGGAGTTATTTGATCAACATAAGAGAATAAAAGAAACAAATATGTTTCACGCGCAATCTGTGGAACCATTTAAAATCTGCGCAAACATAAGTGCAAGAGAGATGAGATATTTGGCCTATTTCTTTGCTGATTGACAGACACATTGAATGATTCTTAGATGAAAACTGTTTTAAATATAAAAAAGAAGAGACCAACTTCAATCTTAACCCTATTTTGTTTCCGTTTGATGTTTGTTTATGTTCAGTGTGTATTATTTTTTAACAGTATTTCTTTGTATTAATTAGTATATTTATTTATAAAGGTAATAATTTTTTGTATAGGTCAATGGGATTATTTTTTTGAAATATATATTATAGCAAACCGATCAAAAAGCATTTTCGGAAACTTTGTACTAACCCTCTTACTCTTTCTTAGACTTGACTTGTACGTAAATATTAAGCCTATAACCCCTTTCTGGGCAGTAAAAACAAATTTGTATCGAGTCACCGCGTCCATTAAATCCGACGGATTGTTGGATAATGACAAATGACGTCTTAAGTTGTCGTTGTCTGGTTGTCAGAACCGTATTTTACCTGAGGTGCGTTCGTTTGTTCGTTTAGATGTCCAGCTAATTGTCCACAGTATGCGCGCGCAGCACAGGTTAAACTGAATAGGTCTATTACGTAGAATGCCAAAAAGGCGTTAATTTCAGCCGAAAAAACCGGGAATCAGGAATTATAACAAATAATATCGTTTTATTTGAGGTTATGAAACCGATTTCTTCTTTTTAAATGACTTTATTAAGTTAAATTTTAAATTTTGTTGTCTAGAAATGTCATTTCTGTCATTTTTCATTCGATTAATCGAAATAATAGTAACAAAATAATCGAATTATGGCTTAAGCTCGGGATCAAGCTGGGAATAGTTGATCCGAGATCAAAAAAGTTTTGTGCAACCCGAGTAAAGAGTTAATCCCGTACTAACTTTGATCCGAGATTAGTTGATCCCGAATTTGATCCGCGTACGAGCAACCGGGCCTTAAAGAATTAAAAAACAATCCCAATGTTCTTAGAAGATTTATTTGCAACTTGATTAGGAGAGCTAGATTATGTATCAAACAAAATTTTACGTGGATTTAAAAAAATGTATTAAAATGTATGGTGTCACATTTACATATTGATAACTTTACATTTTCTTCTCAAAATCGAGTCAATCTGGTAAATTCATAATCAAGTTTAAATTATTTAAAACTTTTTTATTGTTAATTTTACGAAAAAAAAGTTAATCTTCATAAAAAGTTCTGCATGGTCTAAAACCCACGGCTACCCTATTTTAATTTTACACCCGTTGGACGAATTCCGTCGGGAAAGCCGGAAAGAGTTTTCTTTTCTGCATTAGCGTTGGAGTTCCATAGAATCCTCTAGAAGGAAGATATGTTTTGGAAAGCGAAGAGCACCGCTGTTGCAGCGTTGTCAGGATCTTCGCCTGGACCTTGAAAATCCAGGAAAGGGCAACGTGGAGGTGTCGCGCCCATATCCTCAATTTTTCAATCAGTGAGAGCATCTCTTATGCGGCGCTGCCACGCATGCACGCATGTTCTGCAATAAAGGGATAGGGGTCATTTTAAAAACATGAGTACCTAAAATTAAAATGTTATTGAGTTTGGATGGAAACATCTTTGATGACGCCTAGCGCCGCTAGGAGGCGCCGGCGACCCCAAGTTCCTATGTTCAAAATGCTTGTTTGCGGAGTTTGTTGTCCCCTGAATTTCCGGACACCCTGTATATTTGCTACTAATCATTTTCCCCCGTATTTAGAGGTAATTAAAGGCTGCTTTTAAATACCCTCATTAAAGGTCTATACCGGGTGTCTACTATAAAAACCGCCAAACTTCAGGAGGTGATTATACAAGTAATTTTGAACAAAAAATGGCCTATAGCACTTTTTCGAAAAGTCGATAGTTTCTCTTTTATTTAACATTTCATTATTTAAATTTTTTTTTGGTTTTTTCCAAAAAGCCCGATATATAACATTTATTCGTATAGTCACATTAATTTTGATCATATACCGTAAAAGTGTATTAAATTTGCTATAAAAAAAGTATTTATCAGAGTTAAAAAAAATCAATACCGGGTGTTTTAAAAGATTTAATTGTTATGAATATGAAATGAACAACATTATATGTATCTTTTAATGGTCGTAAAGCAGCCAACAATTTTATAAAATTCATAAGTTTTTTTAGTAAAAACTACTGTATTTAATAAGCTTTTAAGAGGTATACTCAGATATTGAGTAAAATTTTTTTTTGTAGAAATTTTAAAGGTATATGTTATAAAATACAAAGTTGTTCAAACAAGAATATCCCGAAAATAAAAATCTACAAAAAATTGTCATATTCACGACCCCTGGAAATTATTATCTCCATCTGTAGCTACCCAAGGTCCTTCATTCACGATCTGAAGGTAAGTGGAGAAAACCACCCAAAAAATCTGGCGCCAGAGGAATCAACCGGTTATCCTCATAAAAAAAATAATTTATAAAGCTGGTGCATCAGTCAAATTTTTCAAAAAATATTTAACTCAAAAATTATGCATTTTCGAAAAAATTGTTTTCAGCAAATGTACCCTAAAATTTTACGTAAATTTCGAAAACATATTAATATACAGGGTGGCTCAAATATAAAATATCACAATTGCCAATGCTTTTCGATAGAAGTGGCAACATCGCAGCGTTAAGTTCTTAGCAAAAATGAATTTAACTTAACACATTTTGAATAATCATGAGTTAAATAAATTAAATTTACTTACTTTATTACTTTATTACTTACTTTATAAAAGATCTTTCTTTAATAACCAGTTAAAATAATTAAATTCATAATAATTTTTCTACTGAGCGTAATTTAATAAATATAATACGGGGATCTGGCGTATTTATCAAAAACTGCTCTGACTTTTTTGTAATTTTTCGGATTCCTTCTGATGGTAAGATTATGATTAATATCCACATATTCCGATCGATGGCTCGAGAATTTGGGCCAGATGAGACCATTCAGCAGCTCGTCCGGTTCCGGTGTAGGATTCCTATTCAACGAACACCGTAATTACATTAAACGTAACAAATGCTTGTAATTATTTACTGATATTTAATGAAATTCGTCCAAATCTTCAATACACGAGCCATATTTAACTGGTCTTCTTCCGGATAAATAGCCGGATCCCCGTTGAAAGCGTAGACACCACCGAACATATAGGGTGTTTCATTGGGAAAGGGCAATATTTTAACCCTGTATAGAGGTCACCCAGGGGATTACAAAAAACCCATATACTATGGGTCTTGCGTCCTTTATAACCGAGTTACAGGGTGTTTTTTGAATTTGGCCCATTTCTTTCGACACCTATAACTTTTGAATCACTTAGTATATTTTTTTGATATTTGGCATAGATATTCTATACCTTTAGGACAATTTATTGCCACATTAAAAAATTACAAAATCCAGGTCCGGATTTAGAAAAATTAATAAAATTTGACCGACCCTAAAACAACACCCTATACACCCTATACACCCTATACATCCACCCTATACAACTGAATGTATTCATCAACTTTTTATTTTCCGGCATGCCGTTTTTCTACCAAAATTTAAACGTTAAAATGTACATTATGAGATTTTTGGTCCATGTAAATGGTAATTGAAGGGATTTTAATTATTTTTTCTTTAATAAAACCAGATTTACTTAACACTTTCATGAAAATTCTTGAAATAGACCTATTGAACTTGAATTAACATTCACATAAACCAATAAAAATTACAATTACAGATCCGCACTTAATAAAATTTAATGTTAATAAATTTTAAGTTAATAAAATTAAAATGATTTCATTTCATTTAATAATTAATCATTGATTATTTAATTTTTACATTTCTACATGAGAAAATTCACAACTTAACTAAGTAATTTACTAGATGTTTCAAAAAAGATACTAGAATAAGTATTCTTTTCCACACCACCAAGAGGTAGAACACAAGGCGCGTTTCTCTAATGAGGTATCCCCAAAAGGCCTAATCCACACGAACTGGCAAATAAAAACAATGAATAAAAAATATGAAAAATAAACAAAAAAATTAACAAAAAACAACTCTTTAACCAAATAATTAATATCTACTAATTTAATACTAATTATAAATAACAAAATGATAACTAACAAACTAACAACAAAAAACACCAGAAAAAAAATCATTTTAACAATTGCTCAAAATGTTCTCCATTTTTGTTCTCCATTGTTTTAAAAGTGCTTACTAGGTAAATGTGTTCTATCTCTTGGTGGTGTTGAAAAGAGTACTTTTAGTATCTTTTGTAAAGAAGCTAATAAATTACATAGTTAAGTTTTGAATTTTCTCACGTAGAAATGTAAACATTGATTAATCAATGATTAATTATTAAATGAATTGAAATCATTTTAATTTTATTAAGTGCGGATCTGTAATTGTAATTTTTATTGGTTTATGTGAATGTTAATTCAAGTTCAATAGGTCTATTTCGAGAATTTTCATGAAAGTGTTAAGTAAATCTGGTTTTATTAAAGAAAAATTAATTAAAATCCCTTCAATTACAATTTACATGGACCAAAAATCTCATAATGTACATTTTAACGTTTAAATTTTGGTAGAAAAACGGCATGCGGGAAAATAAAAAGTTGATGAATACATTCAGTTTTTTATGCTCTTTCTGAATTTGAAATTCAATTTTTAAAAATATGATGTATAGGGTGTTGTTTTAGGGTCGGTCAAATTTTATTAATTTTTCTAAATCCGGACCTGGATTTTGTAATTTTTTAATGTGGCAATAAATTGTCCTAAAGGTATAGAATATCTATGCCAAATATCAAAAAAATATACTGAGTGATTCAAAAGTTATAGGTGTCGAAAGAAATGGGCCAAATTCAAAAAACACCCTGTAACTCGGTTATAAAGGACGCAAGACCCATAGTATATGGGTTTTTTGTAATCCCCTGGGTGACCTCAATACAGGGTTAAAATATTGCCCTTTCCCAATGAAACACCCTGTATAGAACAGATTTTCAGCGTGACCGGCATCTAAAAAAATATAGCAACCCGTTAATATAATTAGAAATTTGTTCTGTAAAGTTTTACTTGCATGGGATAGTTTGGTAACCGCCTCCCATAATTCCTCTGTACGAAAATTGCCAAAAATACGCCGGGGCATGTTCAGACACCAGCGTCGCGTAGTGAATGATCGGAGTGGAGAGTTCATCTTCACTTACAAACTAAAAATTAAAATAAATTTTAACAACATCTTGTGTAGGAACGAAGCGGATAAATTACTGATATGAACGCGTCAATGTCATCTTCGAATTTTCCATCGGTATAAATTAATTTATATTCCTTTCCCGCCTGCTCTCGATCTTCCTCGGAGACGTTTAGAAATGGATTAATTAGTTCCTTGTAACTACTATCGTATCTTTTAACTTCACCGAAGAATAGAGTCGGTTCTGTTAACAAATCGATGTTATTTTAGACGATCAATATAGGTAGGTACTTAATTTTGACACTAGAATATGTAATATTAGTATTAATATTAGGTTTGTTCCTACAAAAAGTCACTGATTTGTTACCAATAAGTTTCTGATTCTTCTATTTCGCATGCGCGGTTTATGATTGAATGGTGTAATCAAATTTCCGATTTCTTGATGGAACAGTCAACACACAACAACAAACAACATAACCTAATAATTAACCTATATTCAGAATTACAAATTAAACCCGAATTAAAAATGCGCTTGCGCCGGATTCTAAATCTCTGTACTATCAGCAAATTTTTCTGATTATCACAAAACCAGTCCCTTGAACTGTTGGAACAATAAATTGTTAACCAAGTCAGAATCAGAGATGTCTGTGGAGTTTGTTGGAACGCCTAAATTATGACTGCGCAGACTCCTGACGACCACCGACTATTTCTGACTGTTGTAGGAACAAACCTAATGTACTTGAAAATACCTGGTGTAATATCGAAGATCTCTTTGTAAGAGGTTCCAATTAAAATGGGCGCTTTTTGAAAATCACCTTTCATGTAACTTTCTACCATTGGTTTAGTTATGAAAGCTTTTTTGTACGAACTATCCTCTATAGACGGTATCCAAGGAATCCCTTCCGCTACTGATACGTTGTAAGTATCACTGTATATCTAAAAATTTGTTAAATTACAAGTTATATAAAGTTTGGAGCAAGTTTGTAGTTGCAGAGAGCTAGTTTGTGGACTTAAAGATCAGTTGTAAAAGTTGGGAGGAACTTCATCGAGTAAACCTGCAGGAAATATCAACGATATTAAAGATGATAAAATAGAATGATGAATAATATAAATATAACGAACTTACAGGGCCGTATAGAAGATCTTTAGCGGGCTTTTGGCGTAGGAATTCTAACAGATCTCGCGTGCTGTTAGACGTAAAGTTTTTATCCAGAATTCTGGCCAATTTGAAGGCATAACGGTCCGGATCGTTCTGGTAAGCCACCGTGGAAAACGAAGTACCGCAATCGAAGATGTAGCCCCTCACCAAATCTTAAACAAGCCAAATGAACCTGTGACCACAAACTGGAATATGCGTATGCAATAATTCACCGGTTGCCAATTGATTTTGTTGTAAATAAGAGATCGACATGGCACCCGAACTGCTTCCCATCACCGTCACTCGACTTTTATCTCCGCCGAATTTGGCGATGTTCTTGTTCACCCAACGGAGCGCCATCAGTTGGTCTTTCAAACTGAGATTTCCCGGTATCGTTCCGTCATACGTGGCCAAAAAACCTGAAAAATATTCACCAAAAGTCGCATCGAATCACCCCTAACTGCGCCCTACCGAACACTCCTAAACGATAGTTTATCGTAACTACGACTATGTCGTAGTCCATTAGATATTTGGGATCGTAATATTGGATGGCGCCTGCTTCGTAGAGGAACGCTCCACCGTGTACGTACACCATTACCGGCAGCAAATCGAGTTTTTTACCGGTACCTTTCTATGAAATAAAAAATTAACAATAAATCCATTAAACCATCCGAATGTGTAGTAACTCACCAGTGGAGTGTAAACGTTTAGATACAAGCAATCCTCAGTCGTCTCTATACCTCCCGGTGAAGGCTTAGTTTGCATGCAAACTTTGGTATTTCTGGTAGCGTTTAATATTCCTTTCCACGGTTCGGGTTCCTCCGGTTCCTTAAAAACGAATAAGATAAAAGCGATTAGTTATTTATCCAGCTTATTTCTTACTGCAAATCTTCTGTTTCCTATCGGGGGGCTGCATAGGGAATTTCCTGGTAAGCATGGAAAGTTTTACCTTTACCGCTCTTTAATGTATGACCTCGGATTTTTCCATCGGGAAGTTCGATAACGTCTGGCTGGAAGCAGTAAAACAAAATAATAAAATAAAGTTCGCTAATTCTGTCGAAAAACTTTACTTACTTTTGAGTCTAATCCGGAAATAAGGGAGACTATCAGTAATATTTTACAGCACCTCATATTGGTGAGTGTAAAGGGTTAATGACAGCAAAACAAGTCTCAAGTTGATTTAAATGGGTGCATTGATTTAAGCAAATAGCCTAAAATTATAATGCCGGCAAACCTACGTATAATAGGGATTATTAAATATGAGATATATTAAATATTTTCGGAAAAACTGATTTGAATTTCAATAAATTCTGAATAATTATGTAAAACAGCAATTACCTGTTCGTTTTAAATTGTGTGGGCAAATAAGTTTGCCTAATATTACAATCAATCTTGGAGGTCTTTGTAATCGTTTTATTATTGTTTTCGTTATGCCATTTTACCAACAATTAAAAAAATGTTAATTCTTTTATCATTTCATACTGATTTTTGTAGTTTTTTCAACTATTTAAAGGCACTTTCATCACGATTTTGAGTAAATCAATTCATTATTAATGTTTTAATTAGTTATTTTGAAATAAAAGTTATCGCAAATTGTTAAATAAATCACAGTCACATACAGTAGGTAAATGTATTTATTTTATTTAGGGATTTATTTATGTAGATAAATTGTATTTTATATTAATGCCATTTGAATAAATTTGGAATCATAATTTATTTCCACTTATTTTGAAATAAAAAATAAAACCCAAGTTTTTGAAAAAGCACTCGCAATAAGTAGGAAGAAAATAATCAGTTAAAAATGTTCTTTACTTTGATTATACTCTAATCGTTAAATTATGTAATTTAACCAACGCATCGCGAAAAATAATAACGACAAATTAAGTAAATAAAAAATAATTTATTTAAACTAGTCACCACTAAACTTTAGGCATTAAAAACTAGAATGAATAGTAAGGAGCAGTTTTATAATTCTCCAATACTTCCTTACCTCGCTTATTTTCTTTAGAAAGAGACTCTCAATCAAATAAGATAGTAAGGAACAGAAAATCAGTCGTTAGGATAATTATAAATGAGACTGTAAAACTTTAGAACAATGTAATACGAAGTACAAGACAATACATAAAACAAAACGCGTGCGTCTCGGCTGAGATAGAGCGATAGATACTCAAAATTTCTTTCCCCGATCTTCCCGAACTTGATACCTACACTTGTAAGAATGAAGCCAAAAATCTTCATTCTTATGCAATGCTATCATGGGTACAAAACCTTTCGTTTGGTGGCTTAACTGAGCCCTCATCTTCATGGCGAAGTGATGTTGAACGTTTGGATAAGTGGTTCATTAAAATTTATAAAGATAAATTTAAAATTAAAACAAAGATTGTAAATCGTACAACCAATTTTATAAGTAAAAAAGAACCACTTATCGCAAAAAATTATTTTTTTCATTTGTTCGACAAAGGGTATTTGTAAGAATAAAATATCTTAATATAAAAAAAAATTGAAGAGTATTCATTACATAAAAAAACGTGACACCGATGAAGGTAGAAGATTTTCTAAGAAAAAGAGAAAAACAGTTATGTAAAATTTTAATTTAACATTGTATAATCTCGTTTATTTATATGTTTATAATGTTTATTTATAATATTTACTTTGATATAAATATATTTTGTCGTAATACTTTGTTTTATTTAAAAATTTAAGATCAACTTAGAAAATTGAATTTGGGATAATGAATCTAATGCATGATTACTATATTCCGGAGTAAAATTGACATGAAAATTTCAAGTTGGCGACTGGGCACCATCTTGGGAAATAAATTTAAATGGAAAGGGGGTCTTGTGACACATCATTTTAAAGCTCCTGACAAATACTGTACAACTCTGGAATATAAAGTCAGTATCTGCACCCATTACAAAATGGCGGAACATTTAATAATTACCTGAATACAAACAAATTAATATCAATAATTCTAGAAATATTTGTTTTTCTATGCCAAATAGCAATCGCAACAAACCGATAAGGTTTGACAGGTTATTTTTAGTAAAAAAAAATCCAAAAAAATTAAGTACGACAACGAACATTAATTGTTTAGTCAAAATATTCTCATTTAGTTTTCGATTGTTTACTTCTCATTGTAGTTAGGTAACCACGTGAAGAAAAAAATAACGTTTGGGCAGGAATATTGGAAAACCATATTGTAGGACCCCTGTTCATTGAACAAAATTTAACAGGGAAACTGTATTTGAATATGTTGGAAACTACTGTTGAGCCTTTAAGGCTAGAGTTCAGTACTCTGAAAATAGGCGTAAAATGCCCGATTCGCCGCGACGTTTTCAGGGCGTATTTTAAAATTTGAAAGGGGGGTCGCACTCTACATATGATCTACCCATTTAGTTGCAATGCGGTACGAAGCCCTTTTTTTGAAAAATGCTTTTGTTTTCGCTTAATTAATGAAAATGTTGAAATCCTATATTCCGTTTTTAGGCTACATTTTTAACTTTTTGTATGCAATTTTTGTACCAATGGAAAGAGCTGACTCTTTCCGAATGCGGTACGAATCCCTTTTTTTGATTTTGCTTGTCATTTGTTAATAATTATGTTGAATGTGTTTTAAAATTCAACGTTTCAGAACACTAAATTATCAGTTTTAGTCAACTTGTTATACAGTCCGAGAATGATTTATGATGGGTTGGTTTCGTCTTCAATTTTACGACCCAAATCCGATAATCCGATTATCTACAGTTAATATGTTAAATTTTAAAATTGCAAATATTTAATTTAGTGTTGCTACATACTTGATTTTTTATTCTACTTTTATTCTACCTCAAGAATTTTTTAAAATATTGTCCGGTTACTAAATTTGATTTGACTAAATTTGACTAAGTACAGGAAGTACTTAGTTATTTTCAAAAATTTATTTATGTCAAGCTCTTTTTCACTGTTGTTACTATTAAATGATTTTGTAACACCACATATGTTATATTAACAAGTAATTGTACTCTTTACTCCAAAGCGCTTTTCATTGAATATGTCGACATTAGATACATCGCAACAAAATAAACCATTATGTTCAATGAACAAATTCGTTAAATGCTTGGGGAAAAAAAGCTCGGAGATCTCGATTTTTATTTTAAAAAGCGAGTCAGAAAAGGTTGAGAGTATTTATACAAGATGTCCCAAATAGGGCATGCAGAACCGGATACGGTTCCAGATTTTTGAGAACCGGGTCTGGAAAGCAGTTAGAACCGGGGGAACCGGTTCTCCCGGTTCCGGCTGATAAAATTTGAAATTTTTTAAAGATTTAAATAAATCAGAGAATTTTTCAGGATAACCTAGGATTATGACTAAAAATTTGAAATAATATAGTTTATATTTGTGTAATCAACATACATTTATTACAAGTTTTAACGCATCAGTCTTTAGTAATAATAAAACAATAATATCAAATCACTACAAAAATCAAATCTTTTTATAAAGTGTATATAAAGCTTCAAAAACGTTAATAAAATCTATATAATCAAACATAATATAACTACTAACTACAAACAAAATAAAATCTAAATAATCAAACATAATATAACTACACACAAGTTAAATTAACGAAAAAAAGTATTCAGTGGAAAAAGTATTCACAGCCGCAACATTCACAGCAGTTTTCTTTAAATTCTTTTTTCCTGATAATACGATCTTAAATAGCTAATAATGTCCAAACTCTGGTCACTCAGTGAGCTGCGCAGGCGATTGCAAATATAACCTGTTGAGGAAAAAATTCGCTCAGGCTCCACGCTTGTCGGCGGTATAGCTTTTAGGTACGCTAGCGAAAGATTTGTGCCACGACTACCACCATTTTCAAAAAGAGTCATTTCCATTTTTACAGTTTTTAATAAATCTTCATGATCTTGCTGCCTGGTTTTACCTTCTTGTACGAATATGGATGTAGGTTTAACTATTTCGAGATCTAATTCTTCCTTTTTTGACAATGTTGGGATTGGGGTTGGAACGACTTCATCTTCTGCTTGTTGCTGAATTTCGTGGTTTATATTATCATTACTTGACACAGGCTGTATCAGATTTACAATCCCCTGGCACATTTCTAACTAAATCGTCGTTTTCCAAATCAGCAAAGTACTGATCCGGGTTTGTTAAGTATTGAAGTGTAGCTGCTTCAATAAGCCGTCGCTCTGAATATCTTCTCTTTAAAGCCGTATCCATTTTTTTACTTATAGATTTGTTCATCCTTTTTAGTTTTTTTAATGCATATTTTATTGCGACATTGGTTGTTACCAAGGATGCATCCCGGCGACACAAACATTCGACGATAGTCTTAATAATGTCCAAAATCTCGTGAAGCTCATGTAAAGTTGTCCATGCGTCTTGGCTGAAAACAATATCAGAATCGATATAAATTAGTGCTTTGATGATGCATACTTTGAGCTTAAGAAAGCGTTCGAGCATATCTGCCATACTGCTCCATCTCGTCTTGCCATCCAGAATAAGAGTATATTCTTTTCCAAATGTAGTAGTTACGTATTTTTGTAAAACATCGTCGTTTTTGGTAGGGGATTTTCTAAATTTCTTCACTACCTTTCGGACTTTTGCTAATAAATAAAAATATTTCAAGTCCGACAGCTCTTTTTGTGTTTCTTCCACAAATTGAACACCATCATCATCGTCGTCATTTTCCTCTGCATCGGATCGTTCTACAGTTTCACAAGATTCACCAGCGTTATCCTCATCCAGGTCTTGTTGTTTATCAACTTCGCTATCATCATCTATAATAGTGACATTCTTGTAAAATACGTCTGAGAGGGCTAGTTGAATGGCGTGAGCAATGCATTTTTGGTGCAAAGACTTCAGTTCATTGCCAATTTTTACCATCATACTGCATCCATCAGTAGTTTCTCCAACAATGTCTCTTTCTAAGGAGATGCTGTAGGTTTCAAGTTTTTCTTTTATTTTTTGCATGCATTTTTTTGCTGGCAAAGATCCGTAAACTCTTATCAATCCTAAATTTTTGAAATTGTTGGGTCCGCTTAGATATGGTGAGTGTATATTTAAACTTAAATATCTGCGGTTTCTGTTCGAAGTCCATTCGTCGAATGAAATTGCAAATTTTACATTTTCAGAGA